CCGCTTGCTGCTTGCTGTTCGTTCGGTTCAACTTCAACGAACTGCGGCAAAATGTATTTTGCGCCGGAAGTGCGTCATCTAGCTTACTTAAAATTCTTAACCAATAGTAACGAATTGCTGCTGCAGCGTGTTGCGCATGAAAAAGTACAGTAAGAGAAATGATCATTTCTCTTACTCGCACTCATCAGAATCGGAAGCTGAACTCGAAACCTAAAATGGGTCCACTTTTATTTTACGGAGTGGAGTCTCCTTATATCTTACTTCCTGGATGTAACCTTTATGTGTTCCTTATGGACGCCATTTTATTTCTTACTAGAACATTGGCCAAACTCCCTATTATAGGGTCTCTAGGCGGTCCTATCCAGCCGCGCGCTTGCATTTGACGGTGGGCCGGGCGAATTAAAATATTTTTATAAATTAATATTTCGTTAACTGTTACTGCAATCGCAAAATGGTACAGGACTTTTCTACAAGGGTTGTTCTACTCACACATGAAATATTTGGCGGTTAATTTCAAACACCCTGTATAAACAAATAAAATATATCTTATTATCCTTAAATTGCAATATAATTGATAAATAAAAAATTGAATAATAATTTATTTATCATTTAAATAATTATCTAGATATATAATTGTTTATTTAATTTGATCTTATTTAATAAATTCGTATTTAATAAATTCCTCAAACACGTTACAATAAATGTTTAAAAGTGCATTAAAAAATGTTACCTTTTATGTTCTAATGTATGTTTATAATAAATTGTAATTAATTAAATAATTTTATAAGAAATTTCTTTTTAAATTTTGTGTGTCTATACATTTTCATATAAAACATTAAACTTTTTTACTTTTAATTTCAAATTAAATTAATTATGCTTTTTAATCGAAGCATATTGTAATGTGGCACATGTACATACATCTCGTGTTCACACGCTTTTAATTGTTTTATTCTATTACAATTCGCATAATTTATAATAAGTATAAACTAGGGTACAATGTCAATGTTGTTGCCGAATAATTATAACATATCATTCCATGCACAGATCTTTAATTGGATCACAGTAATTCGCTTATAAATAGCAATAATTGACCACGTGTTGAACAATAAACTCTCGTTGCGAATATTCAAGGCATCAATAAATGTACGCGACGAAATGTGGCGTATATAACAGATAATTAATTAATTGAAGTAATCAGGATGTATTCTGTGACGTTAATTTTATTTTCTGAAAAATATTTAATTTATGGAAGTGCATTGCCTAATTGAGTCTTGTACATACACAGGATGTTGGTGTGTGTTGATACGATTGATTTATTTGTACCGTTTTTTCTTATTTTTTGATTCTTGATTTGGATCCTTATTAAGAAATTCTAATATTAAAATCATTGTGCTGCATGGAACAATGTTACAATATTGTAACATTTTATAATATTAGAATTTCTTAATAAGGATCCAAACCAAGGATCAAAAAATAAGAAAAAACGGTACAAATAAATCAATCGATCGTATCAACACACACCAACATTCTGTGTACAAGACTCGATTAGGCAATGCACTTCCACTTATTCTGATTTTCATCACACGAGTCAATTAGTATCATCTTTCATTATATTTAATTTATGACTTTAATTTTACTTGGTCGCAAACTCGATTCCGATATGCTTGGTGTTCCCATTCCGAAGGTGTCATCTTTGCTTTTCAATGTCACTAAGCGTGTTTATGAAGTGGCGCAAGGACAAATGTCGAAGCGCGCGATTAATTGTGAGCTAATCACTGCACGTGCATATGCGTATATACATACGAGGTGAGAAAGAGATAGAGAAAGAAATTGTCGCAACACTAATTGATCGTCGCCAATCGTGTGCCAAATCATCCCCTCCTCGCTGCAGCGAGAGCGCACCTTCGAAGGGAAGAGCGGGGTGTAGAAGATGTTGCTAAAATAAAAGCGAAACAAGACAGGATCTACGGGGAGTGATGAGACGAGCCCGCGGCGTGTAGAAGGGCTGGGCATTTTTTTTGCAGTTTGCGCAAGTGCGAAACCAAAAAAGGTACTACATTTTGCGCCTTCGGAGGCTACGTCATCGATGGAGAAGAGATCCCGTGAATGATCTAGTTTCCGCAGTGAAATTGAAAAATTGTCTTTCATTATTCATACTTTTATAATATTATCTGTGTAGTGAAATCGGCAATATCGGCATTTCTAGATTTTTTACAGATTGCTTTAAACACAAAATTTTCGTCTTTACGTCATTCATTGTTAAATATTATATATAAAAAATGACATTTAAACTAATTCCTTGAATTAAATAACGTTTTATTAGTTTTTATTTTTATGTGTCAAAATGTATTATTTTCACAAATCATGTGATTAAAAAAGCCACAACTATGTTTAATTAATTCCTTATGTTGAATTGTGTATAGTTTTTAAACATTGTTTATTTAATGTAAGTCAATTTAATATGTCTCTTGTGTGAGTTCAATTATTTAATTTTATTGTGTTAATGCTAAATTAAAAACACATTGAATAGGAACAATGATTTTCTGTAGGAATGATTAAAAATAACAAAAAATTGTGTATAATTTGACATTACAAATTTGATAATGTTATTACTTATAATCTCTCATAAGCATATCTGCTTAAAAAAATTATCATCATATCAACATGCAATAAAAAAGATTTTATAAACATAATTATTTCACATTGTTCTGTTCTTTAATATAATCGATTAAAGAATATTTTATATAAGTCATCAAGACATTTGAGCACAATTTGAAGATTGGTATGGCATTTAGTTTCGCCACGAATACCTCAAGTCAATTGATACCTCAGCCAAATGGTTTGGTATGACTTGCGATGACCCGTTTCTTCACACGGTGTATATACTTAATCGGCTAAATAAATCCTATCAAAATCAATGTTTGATTAGGCTGTTGCGCTTTAAAAAAATAACGAAAACTGAAAGGGTCGCGAAAAAAATTAATAGATTTTATAGATCAAAAGAAAACGGATATGAAATAGATTAAAGGAATAATCTTTAATTGTTTATCAAGTTATATATATATAAATTTGTAATGTCAAATTATATCGAAGTTGAGCCATTTTTAATTTTCCTATATGTCGCCTCTGCTTCTATACATTGTTAATTTTATTAATAATTGTAAAGCAATAGAGTTAAACACTTTAACTCAAGAAATGTATTAAATTTGATTTAAATTTAGTTTATTATTTACTAAGTGTATATGTAATTTAACCATAGAAATGAGTTGATTAAATAACTTCCTTTAATCATTGTTTTGTATTAAAATAATATATTTTATTGCACATAAAAACATAAAAAATAACAGAACATTATTTTTACTCAACGAATTGATTTGATCTTTTAATGATGATAATTAATAAAAGCAAACAACACGTAATTGTTTGTAGGTTCATTATCGAATTAAACATATATTATATATAATATAACGAGATTACAATGTGGACGGAGGAAGAATCTGCACCATGGGATACTGAGGAACCCGCGGCAGCGGGTGCTGAGGGTGCGGCTGAAGGTGCACCCGCCGAGGCAGCTGTTACCGAGAAACCTGTCTTGAAATTGTTAAAGCTTGAACCGCCGCATTATAATCATCACTGGGTTCGACCACTGTTTCTTAATTACGCATATCTTTACGATTATAGGTAAGATACGAAGATAAGTACTCTAAGACTTTTTAATTACATATGATTAATACAATTATATAAAAAATATATAGATAAGATCGCAAATAGTGTGCAATCTTTCGCACAAGAAGTTCTTTTGTTTATCAAAATAGCTTAAATCGAGCTTTAGTTTAAATAATTTTTTTGTTCAAAATATCTTGGGAGCGAGGAAGACTGATTAAATGAGTGAACAATTAAATAATGTGTTTCAAAACGCGTGAATTCTAAGATGAGACTGAATAAAATATATATTAATTTCACATATAAATCTTAATTTAATTATTGAAAAAATCGCGGAAAAATATATACTTCCATGCTTTGTTTATAATTATACTATTTGTATTTATCTTCTTAAATAATCTTTATCTTTTATTCTTGTGTTAAATTGACATATAAATTTGAGTTGTTCGCGTTTAAGACACGTAAAATATGTCTTTAATACAAAGTTTCTATACATACATACCTATATATATATATATATATATAGATTATATTATAATTTCGAAATCATTTATTAACCTCGGAACGATTTTTTTCTAATAGGAAGAACTATTACGATGACGTGATCGATTATCTTAATTCGAGGCAGAAGGGTATATACCGTGAGCCGCCCAGGGCTCAGGAGTGGGCAGAAAGGGCTTTGAGAACTTACGATCAAAAGAATGTAGATAAAAGCTTCAAGCGATCGGCCGACATGAAGTATATTACTAATATGAGACTCACATCCAGACACTACAGTTATCATACTCGTGCTTACTATAGTCTGAAATACCAGAAGATTCTGTGAATCTGTATACCGATCACTGTCAAAAGACAACCATCAAAGACAAGTGAAATTTCATATATCCGCTCACACAATCTCTCAAAATCTTCATCAATATTGTTATTTGACGTATGTCTTTCTAATTGTCTCTATTATGTCTCTTGTTTGCGACTAGAAAATTTTTATTAGATGTTTTGTATAAATTAGTGAAATAATATTGTAATTGTGATTGGCAGTATTGATAAAATCAATAATGCAATGTCTGCTCTCATTGCAGCTAAAATTGTAAATGTTTATACATTTACTTAGCATATCATTACAGATTGGCATCATAAACTCGGTAAAATATATATCTTTACTTTTGAACATCACTTTAAAAGTCCAGAAATTATTTGAATGGATCACATATTTTTATAGCATATGTCGTGTTAACATGTGTTTTCTTTTTTAACCAATACTTACAATAATTTATTAAATAATTAATAATTTAATTCAATATTTAATAATTTTTAATTTTCATTTATGTGGAGAAATTTTTTTTTAGGAAAAGGAATTATATAATTTGTTACTTAATGTTGATTATACGGGTAAATACGCGTAAACTATTTCTCTATTAAAATATATGTATAAGTGATAATAATCTCTCTTTGCTTGCAAAGAATATTTCAAGAAATAAAAGAAGAATATTCATCAAAAAGTAAACGAACCATATTTTTTTATTAATCTGAAATATGTAAATCTCTGTCTACTTCTATAGAAAAATATGAGTACTTTTTAAAAGAAAAAAAATTAAAAATGAAGAATCAGTTTTAGAAATTAATCCTGCTAGATAAATGTGATCAATAATAAAAGTAATATACATTCTTTTTCCTATTTCAATTTTCAAATAATCTAGATTTGAACAGACAAAATCTTAATTTAATCATTAATTACACAGGTAGAATATATTTGATGTTCTAGAAAGAAAAGTTCTCCAAATTAAAAAAAAACTTTAAAGTATTAATAATAGATTTTGCACACACCGTATTGAACAGAAAAGCATTTTCGAGCCTTAAAACGAGACGCTTTTCTTCCTCTTTAAAAATTTTCGCTTCATCGGCTGCATCGCGAGAGTCTCCAGTGGATCACCAATCTCGTTGGTATCGATTAGTGAGTTGATCCTATGTTGTCTTCCTGTTGGAAGAGGAGGCTGAGCAGTCTCAGGCTCGTCGACCGGCATCTTGGGCCACTTCAACAGGAAAGTCTTGGGTTTCGGTTTTTCCAATTCGACATTCGCGATCTTGCGCGTTCTGTCGAGTTTCTGCGACAGTGACATCGTCTGCTCGTCGTCGCCCTGGTTATCGAACTTTGTCGCGTGTCGCTGGAATACAATGTCGGCGGCTTCCAGCGTGCTCTTGGCCTTCTCTATCTCAGCGTTCAGATCGATCACGTCAAAGATGCGATCCTATACAAGAAAACAAGTGCCAGATACGACAAAAACATATTGTTCAGCTGCAGGACAAATTATATGTAGTACAAATTACGAAGTGTATTTATATTTTGTGTGTAATTTATATATTTTTCATTTATTTCAACCTGCATATCTCGCCGCTTGCGTCTCAATTCCGCCATATCCTCCTCAAACGCAGCAGCCGCACGTTCCTTGAAACGTCTATGAGTGATCACGAAATCGTCTTCGTAAGGATCTTCTTGAATGGGTCGACCTCGTCCATCGAGTAAAAAATCCAATTCGTAGAAATCATCACGATTTCCTGATAAGTTACGAGAACCTAAAATATTAGTAGAATTGTGTTAGTTATTGTTAATGTTAATTGGAAGATATTAACATTAATCCAATTTTTTGAGCAATGCAATTCTTTGAATTGATAAGTAAATGCATTTATAATAATTAAAAATTATTCGTGTTATATAGCTATAATATTTCTAATGAAAATTGTTTTTAACAATAAATTAGATATATTTAATTAAATATAAAGCATTTATTGTTATTGTCTTGTAGAAATATATAAACAAAAAACGTAAAATGTTCGCGTCAGTTTTACTGGAAATCTTATAAAAAATAGATTCTTACCTGCAGAGTCTTACTGTAGCTAGTGTGGAACCTCGTGCATGCAGAAAATAGAAGGGAAACACAGCAAGATACATGAAATGTCAATGAAATAAAAAAGGAAATTTGTGAGAAATATGTGATGTACCTATGTGTCACCTGACATACTCTTAGAAAAGAGTTTTTTCAAATGAGATTTATTCATAAATAAGAAAGAAGAAATATACAAATTCGGAGAATGGTTTTCTGAATTAAAGAAACGATGTTTCGAGACGAACTCGACAATTGAATTGAGACTTTGCATCTCTTATATCGCGCTGATAGTACAGAGGGTGCGTCACCAAAATCCGGACAAATCAAACAATTTCTTTAAACAAAATGTTTTTAATGAAAAATTATAAATATTACCAAAAATTTATTTACGTGACACTTAGGGGATCCCTATAATATTAGAGCATAATTATTTTATATATCCCCTATTAGCTTGAATGATGGCCTCTATTCTCGGTCTGAAGCGTTCACTGCACGCACGCTGTAATGTAGCGCTGTCCATGCCGACGAATGTTGCCACGTCATATTAGGATGCCAAATCACCCTTTCAACTACCCTCCATATGTAGTAGTCTAGAGGATTTATATCTGGGCTGTTGGGAGGCCAGAATTCCTTGGACCAAAACATATCGACATTGTCTGAGAGCCAATTTTGAATCAATTAAATGTCTCATCTGTCGTATCGTAATGCGTACGATTTGTATCGAAGGTCCTCCTCGGCAATTCGTCGCATTGTTGGCTCGCTTACACCAACAATCGATGCTAATTTTTGCAACGATTGTCCTGGGTCATCCGAAATCAGCGCTTGAGTTTTCTTCAATTGCGGGGGTCCTCGCGGTGCGTTCTTCTTTCGAGTGACTCTTCCTCGCTGGCATACTGGAACCTTCGTTGGACTGTTTTAAAGCCGTAAATTTGGCCACAACGTCATAAACAGTTGATCTCGGATATCCAAAAAATCGAATTATTTCTGTTGCTGAGCGCACAACGCGAAGGCCTTTGATGATCGCGACTCTTCGATTATACTCCGCACTTAATTTCATCGCGGTCATTTTGAGAATATGATTGTTTACTAGAAATATAAGGTTTTCTCGAAAAGCCAACAACATTCTCTGGCGGAGGCACAATATAGCGGAAAATTTAAATTTAAATTTTTCCGGATTTTGGTGATGCATCCCATATTATAACAAGTTTTGAGTAAATAATTTTAAATATAATAACTTTTGCAAGAAAGATTTTAAATATTAAAATGTAACATATAAATTTGTTAGGAACGATTAACATTTAAGCTCCCTCGGATCACACCTGAGAAGCGGAGAAAAGAAAAATTATGCGAGAATATCGTACGAAAGTATAATCTTATGTAATATAGATTTTAGTCAAGTCGTATATTTGTTTGCATCGTATATTAATTTGCAAAAAAATCTGAATGTAAATAGAAATAAAATCGTGTTAAAAACGAACGACTAAGCGTATATGTATTTTCGGAAGACACGTCTCGCATGAAAATATTGATACAATATTGTAATTACAGAATTACGCGCAATAAATATATGCGCAGTATCATGAGCATAAACGTCGATATTGGATTCTGTCGATAAAATTTAGTAACTATTTACAGTCAGTAAAATTTATCGACAATTTACTGTCAATAAAACACTATTAAAGTTAATGGAATCGTCGTATATTCGTTTCAGCTTCACTTTGTTTGAACAGATCAGCGACGATATAATATCTATATAAGTGCGTAACCACCGAAAAAATGATGATCACTAATGCATACCTATACATCGAAAACGTATTCTAAATATTCAAATAGAACAGTGCTTTACGGCAAACCGACTTTCAAACATTATATTGATAAAACTGTATAATTGAAAAGAAATTAAAGCTACAACAAATGTAAATTATTACTAATCACTTTTAAAAACATTAAAATAATTGTTAATAACAACAAATCTGTATTTTTTAAAATCATTAAAAGAATGCAATTTAAAACTGTATTATCGATCTCATCATGAACAGATTAATCTAATAATTTCATTTGTTTTAATTACTTTAAAGAAATGACAAAGTTTAAGCCAATAATAAAGTCACATTTAAATAATGTTTTTAGACAATTGACATGTTCTCAGCAATAGCTATGATTAACAGAATTAATAATTTTTTTCTAATTATTACATAAAAAGAATTGTTTCACTGAAGTATCACTGAAGTAACCATTCTTTTTACGTAAAAACATAAATAATTAATAATCCTAGCTTTGAAAACTTCCTCCAAGTTTTCAGCGCGTAATGCTTATAATGACTGTAAAACACTGTCATGAGAATTAAGATAAGTCGTAAGATTCTTTAAAAGCTGACGTGCTTCTCTGCGCGTTCGGCGATGCGCACCTTCTTGTTGACAGCTGATTGTTGAACGACATCAGTATCAATTGCAGCGGCATTCTCGTTAACCAGCGCCCTGAGGGCCGCGGCCCTGCGTTCCCTTTTGGCTTGCCTTTCGGCGAGTTCCTCCATCTCTGACTCGAGATCGTGGAGACGTGCTTTCGTTTGCATGGCTCGACTAGCGGCAGTGCTGGTCTGTGCTAAGTCGTCGTCCTCGTTAATCAGTTTGGACCATCTCGCGAACGCTGGCTTGTTCTCGTCAACGCGCTCGATCTCGTCGAAGAGCTTCGAACGCCTCTTGAAACTATTTTCGACGTCTTCGATCGCTGTTTTGGCGCTCTTCCTGGCGGTCACCGTATTCTCCAGGAGATCGGTAGCGTTTCTTCTAGCCTGGCCCGAGACATTCGTGGTCTCTAAATCATCCTCAAGGTCCATCGCTGCTACTCGAGCTCGAAACCGACGTGTCGTTGCTGCCACTTCATCCGCGAAGTCGTCGCCCAGTCTGCGACGTGCCGATATGCGTTGTCCACGGCTGTCATAGACGGTGTCCTCATCGTCGAAAGCTAGAGGGTCGGTGAAGGGCGGTGCTTGGGAGGCGCGGGTACGAGGGTCGAGGTCGAGGTCAAGGTCACGACCAAGGGAGCCAGTGCGGGGACCGGAGAGATCGCGCGTGCCTGCAAAAACCGACATCAGTAAAGAACGTTGATTTGTGC